AAATAAGATGCAGTGAACACTATTACATACAAATCTTTGTGGTCCTCCTTAATTATGTCTTGATATGAAATTACTGGATCAAATGGTATGCAAAGTTTGTATGCATTTGATACATAGTATCAAACTATTCTTCAGGAGATGTGTATCGCTTTCTAATTAATTTGATGGCCCCTTGAAAAAGCTGGCTATGAAATCAGAAACTGATGATGAGTTATGAGTGGGGAAGCAACAAGCATCCAGCATTTGTAGATTGACCCCAGAATGTGAGACCTACCAAGTCCTGGGCAGGCCTGCTGGTCTCTCCTCTTCCACCTTAGAGTCAGGCCCAGGGTCTGCCACAGGGAGGGCCTGAAAAAATGTGACAGGCACTGAATGGCACTGAATTGAAGGAGAAGTAGACAGAGGAGATTAGAAGATAGTGGGAAAAGCCTTAGCAGATCAATAAAAACAAATCCCACGATTTGCTTCTTTGGATTACTTTAGCATGTTACTAATTATTGCCAAGTACTACTTCTACATTTTTAGATACTGCTTCCAAATTGTAATTAACTCATATTAACAGCATACATATATAATTTTGCGGGATGCTGAACATATTGAATTTTCACACTGTGATGTTTCCTTATTCTGAGATTATGTCCTTTTAACTTTTTAGTTTAATGTTCTTTTAAAATGGAAATGATGGTAATAATGGGTAGTAGGGTATTTTAAAGTCTTTTAATTGGCAAATAAAAGTTGACCACTTTTATTGGTCTTCTAATTTTTAGTCTTAAATTTTATTGGCACCTGGAATCCATATGTCTGGAAGCTAATGTCCAGGTGACACATAATCTGGTCTTTAAACTTTCATTTGTCCAGCCAACATTCAGTGAGTGGCTGCTGAGTGCAAGATGAACAGGAATCTCTGGGTCACACATTAGTGTAACACCATGGAGGCTACAATACCCTTGGATCTGGGGTAACAGGTTGTAAGTGACAGAGAGCTGGGGGAGCATGGGGATCACAGTGCATCACAAGGTCCCCAAGTCTACTTCATACTTACAGGATTTTCTTACCTCATTATTAAATGTTGGAGCCCCTGGGGAAATAAAACTCACTACAACAAACACCTCCTCAGAGTTGCGAAATACATATTTCAGAAAGTAAAAGGACAAAATAGGACTGAATCTAGGAGAGTAGAGGTAAAATAACCCAGACACCTAAGATTTATCCCTGTAAGTCGAAGAAATTAGCTGTAGTCTTTCAAAAGATATTTATTAAGCAATTGTTTGGTTAAGGACACCCGAAGGAAGGACAACCAATGCCTAATTTCATAAGACAGGTACATGGAGAGCTATAGTAAACTCTTTAACATTCACAAAAACCTTAAATAAAAAGAATCACAAAAACGAAGTATGATTAATGACATTTAGAACATATTGAAACAACATAAACTGACCAAGTTGTAAATTCTGCATAGACCTAGAATACAGCAGGTATCAGTGAACCAGGAGATTATGCTGTTTGAATACAGCTATACGAGCAAGGGCTCCTTAGTATCCTGAATCTACAGAGCTACAAGTGAAAAGTATAAATGTTTTTGTTACTTGAGCCAGAGAAATGTTTAGATTTGAGATGTTTAAATCACAGAAAGTCTTTCAAACTATTCTTCCCAAACACTTTCTCTGGGGCTGGGAGGCAGAATAGCTCTCCTGCAAAGAATATCTGTAAACATTTTGGTAGAATTTTCTGAGTGTTTACATGAGGCATGCTTTTCGCAGGCCTTAATGGTTTGCCAGTTCTGAGGGTAGTCGGTAGTCCTTTGAGGATATGTGTCACAGCATAAGTTATTAATCGGAATTCCAGCAAATATCCAGGCAATCGGGGGGCACATAGGCATGGCAGCTTTTTTTTTTTTTTTAAAAGGATGATCATTCTCTCAACCAAAATGGCTAACCTCCAACACCCTGCAAGAGTTTGCATTCAGAAGGAAAAACACAAAACAAGCCTCATCCAAACCTTCCACATCACCTCCTTCAAACAGATTATTGTCAAGAATTAACATGACTGAATTCACTTAACCTGAATAAATAAGTGACATGAACTTAGAGCAGTTAGCGTTTGCCACCAGCACATTGCTTTCTGTTGGTTTTGACATGGAGTTTACTCTCTGGATAAAAAATATTTGTGTTATCAATTTATCAAATTAACATCGGTCACTAATCATCTAGTTAAGTTCCAATCGTATATATCCTGGATAGTGTTGTAATTTAAATTGTAAAGAAATCATAGGAGGATCATTAGATAATGTATCATGAATGACAGTGTCTTTATCTTTTAATGGAATTATTTACACTAAATACAGTGTTTCTGAAAGCAGAATGCTTTATTCTATTCACTTAGACACGGTGACAAGAAATTTTGATATATGTATACATGTATGTCACATTTTAAAGATGTACACACTTTTTTAAAAGATGGGAGTATTTTCAGGCACCAGTCTTGCAAAAAGTCTCACAGTTTTTTTTTAAATGTTAAATTCAAGTACATCAATAAATGAAAAACAGCAAAATAAATTATAGCGAAAATTGTCAACGTCGAACTAGCGATTGTAAATTGTAATGATTTCAGGTTCTTAATAAAAGCATTAGAGCAAAAAAGCTGGAAATTCAAGTCAAATCCCATCACAGCAACCTTCATTGCAATAAAAAGTTGATTATAAAGAAATGGGTTCCAAAGTCTGTCCAGACATTAGAAGTGTTTCTTATTCTCCTTGCCACAAAACTTATAATTTTAAATAATTCACGGCAATGGATGTTTTCCTAAAAGCAATTATTCGAAAGTTCTTTCTCATACAACAGTCTCTTCCTATAATGAAAATAATCCAACCCTTGATTCTGTGACACAGTGTGAGATGTGGTGATAGAAACCTCACTTCCAGGTAACCAGAAAAATGGAAACACAGATTATAACTGAAACTAATTTCTTTACTTTTCTTACATTGATGAAGAATGCACTGGCAGACATATTAGCTACATCTACAAATTTGGTTTGTGTAAGAACAGCCCATTTTGAATTTATTTTGAGTCAAATACACAACAATACAGGGAGATGCACCACACAGTGTCAGCTGGAGATGTTTACTTTATAATTTAAAGATATTAGTACTATGACATATACATATACTACAGTGCATATACTATGACATAACATGCAAGTGGTCATGAACTCATTAAGGATAAAATCCTTGGCTTATGAATCTCTAGAGCTTAGAACATAACAGGCACATACTAAATGTGACACGATAGACTTTTAGGAATATTTTTCTTCATATAAGTTCTTCTTTTCCCTGAGCTTTATACAATTTATGGAGCAGGATGAAACGAAGAAGTTACAAACAATAAAAAGGCAATCGTATAAGAGTGCAGTTAAAGATCACTTTCTCTAAACCTATTCTCTGAGATCCAGTGAAGGACAATGGTGGTCCGTGCTATGGAAACTATTCCCTTTGAGTGAGTTATACTGAGACCGTAGACATGAACCCACAAGAAATTGGTGGGTGAGGGCATTAAATAATTAAAAGTTAGGTTTGTTTTTCTCCAAAGCAATCAACTATGTGATAGAAGTCAAGCCTTTTTTTGCTTGTTTCCTCTCAAGTAGGATGTATTTGTAGACAAAAACTCTAAGGTTTCAGGAAATTGAATTACCTCTTTGAGATTTACTGGGCCCCCCCATTTAGGACAATAAGGCTGAATGACCTAATTAGTATTCAATGGGCTTAAATGAATCAGTATTTTTTAAAAAATATTTATGCACCCCCAAGAATTAACTGAATAATCAGTTTGCTGAAGTTCTGCATTTAGACTAAATTGATACTACAGTTTTATTGTCAGGAAGCATTTTAGAAGTATTTCTCTGGAGAAATTATTCTAATTATGATTATGTTTTCATTTTTTAAAAATGAAGAGTCAATCAATTATTTCTGCATAATAATCTTTACTTTTGGCAGGGGAAAATCAATCATGGCAATAATTTCCCTAATTAGTTCAATCGATTCCATAGGTGGACTAATAATTTCATGAAGGAATTGCTTATATGACTTACTATTACAGGGAAGTACAAAAAAATCATTTTTGATTATATTTAATATGTGAAGAGTTGACTATAAAGGAGTAATGTGAATATAAATGAAAGTTTTAGATTTATAACCAAAATGTACAATATTTAGTTGAAGGTGTCTAATCATTCATAATTATGATTACAAGGCAGACTGGAAATCCAAGTAAACATATCTATCAGATAAGCAGTGGGGTGTAAACAGCATGACTAATTTGGAGATGGGACATGGCATAGGCATTTTGAAAAAATGGCTGTAAGATTTTTTAAAGTTTTGAATGTCAACAAACAGTAGCATTGAAGGGATTCTGAATTTTTCACCATTTGAACAATTACTATGTTCACTAAGTTTCTGTAAACCTTTCAGGATAAGTTATAAATTATTTCTTTATTTGCAAATCAAAGACTTATGATTGGCTTAAGTATTTTTGATAAGCCAAATAAGGTAATTTGTGATTTTCTATAATTTTTATAGCCTCATTTCCTGAATATTATTAACACATGTAATCCAACCTAATTAAAAATGCATACATATTATAGTTAATATCCATTTTCTTCCAAGCAGAAATTATAGGGCATTTGGGTGTAATTTTTAGAATTTATCACTCTAACACTCTGCTATGCTAATGTCACTATAAAAAGATTTCAGGGAATGAGTATTTATTTTTAAATATTTTTTGTAAGATTAACAATAATTTTACATATACTCTAGAGCTGCATTGTCCAGTATGGTAACCACTAGCTACAGTTGGCTACTGAACACTTGAAATGCGACTAGTACAACTTGAAGAAGTGAATTTTTAATTTCAATTAATTTTGAAGTTAAGAACTCACAGTTGTTTTATTTATTAGAAAACTTTTAAGTGTGTTTGGACAGCTTAGGTTAATGAATCTACTTTTTCTTCTGCAAAATTTATGAACTCGCAATAAATCAAGTATTACTGATGAACGCTCCATGTCCAAATTAAGATGAGCTGAAAATCTGAGACAAACCAGATTTCAAAGACTTTGTATAAAAAAAGAATGTAAAATTCTCATTAATAATTTTTATATTAATTACTTAAGTACCTTGTACTATATTTCTCCTGGACAGCACTGATCTGGTGCTCTATGAAAATTGCTAGTTTTTGAAAGTCATGTTTTAAATTTTTTATTTTAATGTCATTCTTTTAATCAAAAAAATTTTACCATTATGAAAAAGAAATCAGAGTTAGAATTTGTCTAGTAAGAAGTGACCTAATTGCCCTCTCTACACCACCTCCCTTCTCTGAATTGCAGAGCCCTTGCTAGCACCAACAGCAGAATGCAAAAATCATAGGCAGTGAATATGCAGAAATCGTGTATGAGAGCACTGATGAGTGTGCAATCAAATCAAACTGCTCACACATTACAAATTCTGTCTTTTCTTCCCCCCCCCATTGTTTCCAGACCTATGTGTCCCTAATTCCAAAATTAACCTTCAACTTCCTCCCAAGTTCTGCTGTGCTATGGCTTCCAGTTTAGAATAATAAGCAATGACTTTGCTGAGCAATGTGCTTGGTCATGTATTAATACTAGATTCTGTCCAGGCCCTAGAACTTTCATCCTTCAGAGTGGAGAGCTTCCTCTGGGAGAAGGGTTCAAATCCCAGAAGTTTGAACACTGCCACCCGGTACTTCTTGGACATGATGTTGTACAGAATGGGGTTGATGGCGGCGCTGAGGTAGAAGAGGACGAAGGAGACGAGGTTGCAGTATTGGCTGATCTGAGCAATCTCCAAGGAGCCAGGCTCGAAGGATTTGGAAAATAAATATCGCCCTACATGGAAGGGCAGCCAGCAGAGGATGAAAGCAAAAACCACTACAGCTGAAAGGACAATGAGAAAGAGAACGTCAAGAAATATAGCAAAGTTCAAGAAATATAGCAAATCACAATCGATTTTGAAGACATGGTTTTGTTTTGATTATGTGTGGTAGGACCACTGACTTCAGAGAAATATCATTTTCTGCTCTTTCCTATATTTTAACCAAGATTGAGTCTGTCCGGATCAACAATTCAACCATTTTTACTGCTGAGCTTCCCAGTCGTTTCTAGTTAACAATTTTAGTGATTTTGTGCTTGAGTTGACATATTGACTCAAGTAACTAGACAATCTAGTCACAATAGTCCACCATTTTATATGTGTTAGATCAAACCTATATGAGACAATGTGGTTTTACTCAACCATAGTTATGTATCAGAGTTTCCTGGGGTACAGATTCCTTGGATATAATACAGACTCACTAAATTAAAATCTCTAGGAAGGAGACTAAGACACCTGTTTTCTTTTTTCTTTTTAAAGTTTTACAGAAGACTGAATATGCAGTCAGGATTGAGAATCACTGAGATGAACGAGCTTTTCCACCTAAAATAGACATAAGTAAGGTAGAAAATGCCATAAAACCAACTAACATTAATTATCATCCATCCAGGCCTTAATTTTGCCCATGTAAGGTTGCTTTCTTCAAAACCTCTGCATTTTTAGATTAAGTTTTTAAAATTCAGAAATCAGAGGAAAAATAACAGAAAATAATAATTTAGGACTTGTACCACTTTAGTGATTCCCTTCCAACTGTCAAGGCAAAAGAGAGTCACCAGTGAGGATAATTAACAGCTTAAAAATAAAATCAGAGGAAATTATTAAACGTATTCTCAAAACTAATTTGTATAGTAGCAACTGACTGCCCCAGGAGCAACATGAATATTAGAGTCCCCTGGGGGGCACTAGCAGGTTTACAATCTATTAGTCATATTGTGAGAATCAGTGGTCTAAAAAATTTAAAAAACTTGACCTTCTTTGAATAAACTCTATCACTTTAATATACAGGATTTCAAGAATTGTAAAATTACAAATCAAAATTATCCTAGAATAACTTCTAAGAAGTACTATATGTGCAAATAAGTACAAACTGTTGACTACAATGTCCAGATAATAAAATGTGCAGATTCTGGTTTTGATAAAAGCAAGGAGAATTAATATTTTGCTTGGATGTGAACACAGTTTGTATTACTTCACTTGTACCAAACACATATACTTAAAGAAGCTGAATTTATGCAATAACGATTCAGCGTACTCCAGTGTGACACTGCACCCAGATGTTCTCTGAAGGACCATTTGGGGAGGGATAGTAAGTTCTGTCAGCTCCCACAAATTCTCCTTTTCTCAATTTGGAAGCCTGCCTATCCTAGCTTATCTAGCCTGTCCTACTTGGAGAGAAAAGTAAACATGAAAACAGAGACCCTGACTTGTCACTGATTTCCTTACAAAGCTGTATAAACAGCATCAGGGTAAACAGAATTGATGCAATTATCTGGGAAAAAAATGCAAGTCAGAAAGCAAATCACAATGTTGAAAGAAAAGTGAATCTTCTCTGATAGAATTATCCACGATGATCACATCTTTGGTTACATTTACCAATGAATACTTAGAATCAATGCCTGCTCTTTTTCACCCTTAACACCTGCTTTTCTTAATGCAACTTAGATATCTACAAATTGAGGCAGGAAGCTTAACATCACCTTTAACACATTTTAACACCACAATATACTCTTTAATGAAAGATCTCATTCTGAAGCAAAGTTTCTGGGCCAAAATAAAACACATTTTAGAGAAATACAAAGGTGGGACATTTTTCCATGAAAGAGAGAAAGGTGAGACCAGGAGAAAGAGACACAAAGAGATAGAAAGAGAACAAAGAGATAGTCAAGGGGTGGGAGGAAGGAGGGAGAAAGGAAGGGAGAGAGCGAAACATAGATATATAGAGAGATAGAGCAAAAATGTAAAACAAAAACAAACAAAAATAGAGAGAGAGACAAGACAGTGAAACTAGAGACCAAAGACAGAGCTCAAGACGGAAAAAGGAGAGAATAATTGAGAAACTTACAGGGAAACAGAGACCTAGAGAAACTGGGGAGAAAGGCAGACTCAGGAAGAAGGGGAAGGGCAGGGGAAGAGGAGGGGGCCCGGGAGAGAGAGCTCAAAGGCGCACCGAAACCCACCCAGCATCTTCACGGTTTGTTTGTGGTTCTGGTCCCTGAGCGAGGCGCCCACCGCTGCCTCGCCGCGTCTCCTCCTCCACAGCTTCCTGCCGATGAGGCTGTAGAGCACAGTGAGGCAGAAAACAGGGAGGAAGAAGAAGACGCTGGACACCCACACCATGACGGTGAGCAGTCCCGAGCGCACCGCGAACTCCGTGGCGCGGCACTCGTTGGTGTCCCGAGGGTCGGTGCCGTTCTCATGCTCCACCCCGACCAGCACGAAGATGGGCCCGGCGCTGCAGAAGGCCACGGCCCAGATGACCAGGATGACCAGCTTCACCCGGCCCTTGGTGACCACCACCTTGGCCCGCAGCGGGAAGCAGATGGCGAAGTAGCGTTCGACGCTCAGCGCGGTGATGGTGAGCACCGTGGCGTAGGTGCAGCTCTCGCTGACGAACTGGAAGAGTTTGCAGAGCAGGTCACCCAAGTTCCAGGGCCGGTAATGCCAGAGGCGGACGAGGTCGAGGGGCATGCAGAGGAAGATGAGTAGGTCGGAGAAGGCCATGCTGGACAGGTAGAGGTTGGTGGTGGTACGCAGCTCGCGGAAGCGCGACACCACCAGCATGGTGAGCAGGTTGCCCGCGATGCCCACCACGAAGAGCGCCACGCAGGTGGCTGTGACGCCCGCCAGCAGCGGCGCGGGGAAGAGCGGCAGCAGCTCGTCGACCAGCGAGTCGTTGTCAGGCGCAGCGTCCCAGCCCAGGTCCGGCAGCGTGAGGTTGGGCCCCGGCTCCTCGCTCGGCGTCGCGTTCCACATGCTGCCGGCCCTGCTTAAACTGGCTTTGGGATGCGGCTGCACTGAGAGGCTGGATCGGGCGCTGGTCCCGGAAAAGGTCTCCTTAGGCGCAAGAGAGTGCGAGGGAGGAACAGGAGCAAGAGAGTGCGAGGGAGGAACGGGCGCAGGCTCTCAGGGAGGATGCTTGGAGAGGAAAGAGAGGGGAGAGGCAGCAGCTGAGGGAAAAGGTGAGACTGAGAGTCTGGGGCGGGGAGGAGGGGAAGAGAGGGAGGCGGGAAGACACACACACACACACACACGCACGCACACACACACACACACTGGTGGAGAGATGGACCGAGTGACCCACCGCTCTTTCTGGCACCTCCCCTTTTCCCCGTCCTCTCCCCCAAAGTCCTTCTCTCCCAACCCAGCCTTTGGCCGGCCTCCACACAAGTACCAGTCACCGAGGAAGCTCCGCCAGCCCTGCTTCGCCTTTGCGTTCTGTCTCCAGATGCATCTCGCACTTCCCAAAGCGTCCCGGCGCGTGGGCACAGAGGAGACCCGGCACTGCGAAGCTGGAGCGCGAGGGGCCTCTCCCTAGCCTTGGGTGCTGCCTGGCTAGGGTGGCCCAGAAGGGCAGATTACACCCGGGGTTGGGGCCGGGCACGGTGGGGAGAACACCTTCAGTTCCCGGGACGTGAGTTCTTCCTCAACAAGGGATAGAGTTGGCTACGGACCTGGTGGGGAGAAGTAAGCGTGCACAACCGGGCTTGGAAAAGGGAGGTAGGGAGTGTTCCGACCTGAAAGGAGACCAGTGCGCACCTGGGAAGAGCCTCACTCAGTCCTAGAACCTATCGCCGTGTTAGCGAGGAGAAGCAGGTTCAGAGAGGTGTGGCCACTTGTCCAAGGTCACACAGCGAGTTGGGGGCTCAAGAGCTAGACTTGGCTATCCCACCCGGTGGACTACTGAGAGCGAAGGGGCAAGATGTGTGAATAAATTGTGTTCGGATTTCCAGCCCTTTGTACTGTTCCCCAACTCGGCGGTGGTAGGGGATATGCTGTGTAGGAGATTACTTTTGCCTGCTGCAAACCTCGGGGGAAGAGGAAGGGCTAAGGGGCGTGTTAGCGTGGCAGGGCGTGGGGGGTAGCTGTCAAACGGGGAGCGGCAGAGGCTGTAAGGCTGGCACGTCGAGGGCGCACAGTAAACATTTTCTGAGGCATGGACGAGAGATCAGCCTTTGGGTAGCTGTGTTCACTTGGGCAAGGCATCAACCTTTTTGTTTTAAATTTCGAGGATGTTGTGATGACCACTGGGAATGGATGCCAAATGCTGGGGACAGAGTTGGAGCTCCAGAAATAAATATAGGCGGCGTTGCTGTTACTAGGGTTGCTATTGAGGAATGGGTCGGAGGCTGCCTCTACGCTCGCAAGGTGACTCCTGGACACGGCCTGTGCGTCCCCTGCCCGGAGCCAAGAATCGACAACCGCAGGCGCGAGACTGGCGGTTACTCGCTAACTCACTCACCAACACGCCGGGCCTCTTCCCGCGGGCCACCCGGGGGGCAGCCCGGGAGCGTGTTCAGCACCGCGGCCAGCGACCGGCCCTTTCTACCTCGCCCCACAGCTCTCCCTAGCTGAGGCTGCCCGCCCTCACCTTTTTCAGTTCTTGCCTCAGCACCACAGTCCTGCTCCACGAGGGAGCCGGGGAGATTCCTCCCAAACACAGACCCGTACTAAGCGGCTGCGCTGGCCGCACCTATTCACGCTTACTTACCTGTGGCCTAAATTCACTGTGTATGAGAGAGGGCTTTCCTGAAGTATTTTAGTAGGTTTGCACATGCCTTTGCCAGACGGTTTATGTCAACTCTGCCAACTAAATTGTTAATGCTCAGAAGTCCACAAAAACCGAAGGATGAATATATGCACACGTGCATGAAAGATTCCACACATAGTGGGAGACTGAATGAGGAAGTTTAATACAGGCAACTTACTGGAAAACACGCTACATAGGTTACCAGGGCTGTGTGACAGAAAGTGTACCAAAAATCTGTTTCAACTACTTTTTAAAAAAAAGATTACAACTAAGTCAAGCCACCAGTCGCTAACAAGTTTTTTTTTAATCAATTATTTGACTTTAACACTTCCCATCCTTCATTATCAATAGATTTATGTGTGCAGACAAGTCTCTAGGGGGAGAAAACAGACTGGGATAAATAAAAATACCGTAGGAAGCTATTGTTTAAGAATAAGAATCAGGAAAATATTATGGGACATATTTCTAGCCTACTGGGTGCTAAAGCAATAAGATTTAGCAACAAGCTAAAGCTGATACGTGGGGAAAATCTTCTAAAAACTCTATCATGATACAAATTTGGCATGTTGGCTAAAATAGCCAGATATTTAACTGCATTCAATTATTTTCCAAAATAAAGACAAATCTGTATTGTGTCATGAAGAAAAAACAGGGGATAGTATTGAAATTGATTCATTCATTTACAACCCATAATATAAAAATATATAAAACTGTCTATTAGTATGTGTTAGGCACTGGGAATAACAAAATAAATAAAAGTCAGAAAGGTCCTGTATTGCAATTCCAGTACCTTTTTTTTTTTTTTTTTTTTTTGCGGTGGTCTCTCCCGTTGCGGAGCACAGGCTCCGGACGCGCAGGCTCAACGGCCATGGCTCACGGGCCCAGCCGCTCCGCGGCACGTGAGATCTTCCCGGACCGGGGCACAAACCCGTGTCCCCTGCATCGGCAGGCGGACTCTCAACCACTGCGCCACCAGGGAAGCCCTCCATTACATTTTGATATGTGCATTTAAAGAGGCGTGTACAATAAGCTCTGTTGAAATATGGAGAAACAATGAATTGCATAGAGGTTCTGCCACCTGAGCTGGATCTTCAAAGTTGAGTTCCAAAAGGTGAAGCAGAACATACTAAACTGTTCAGATGGGCACATAACCACATTGGAGGGCTTCCCTGGTGGCGCAGTGGTTGAGAGTCCGCCTACCGATGCAGGGGACACGGGTTTGTGCCCCGGTCCGGGAAGATCTCACGTGCCGCGGAGCATCTGGGCCCGTGAGCCATGGCCGCTGACCCTGCGCGTCCGGAGCCTGTGCTCCGCAACGGGAGAGGCCACAACAGTGATGGGCCCGTGTACCGCAAAAAACAAACAAACAAACAAACAAAAAAACACATTGGAGCCTAAAAGCCCAGCATGCCTTGTCCTATGAATGGTATGAGAAGTGTTATTATGGATTCATGGATTTTTATATATTCAATGAGTACCAACCAAAATTATGGTTATTTTTTCTTTTTGATGCTTAAATTATCCTAGCTTTGTCCAATGAGATCCCCTCCAAGCTGGCTCCAGAGTCTTTTGACATGACTTACTTAGATTTTTTTATTTTTATTTTTTGGTTGTGCCGGGTCTTAGTTGCAGCACATGGGCTCCTTAGTTGCTGCAGGAGGGCTTCTTTGTTGTGGCTTGCCGGCTCTTTAGTTGTGGCATGTGAACTCTTAGTTGCAGCATGCATGTGGGATCTAGTTACTTGGCCAGGGATCAAACCCAGGCCCCCTGCACTGGGAGCGTGGAGTCTTAACCACTGCACCACCAGGGAAGACCCAGACTTGCTTAGATTTTGAGAACTTCCTTGCCAGAATTTGTGGCAGTGTAAGATACCCCTTGCTCACCTTGGAAGTTCCCTACTCTATACCTGGGAGCAGCCATTTCTCCGATAATCCCTGGTACCTTATAGTGGGGAATGGCATTTAGAAACGTAAATTTGGGAAGTAGGGGTGTTTATTGCCCCTGTAGTATTATGGACTAGACCCTGTCAGTGGACAGAGCTAGGGTATATGATTTTTGAAAAAATCATGAGATAATGATGATGATACAGTAGATAAATCAGACACACCCTTAGCAAATGATCAAAATTAACATCACCAGTGTGATACTCTGGGAAGGACACAAAGTCACTTACATGGTATTCCAGCTAGGAATGCACAACCTCAATCTAATTGCAGCAAACATCAGACAGACTCAAAAGGAAGAATATTCTATTTTTAAAATTCTTCCCCCAAATGTCGACGTTATACAAGACAAAAACTGGGAAAAAGTTCCAGACTAAAGGAAACCAAAGAGATGTAACAGCTAACTGTAACTCCTAATCCTAGACTGGATCCTAAACTGGAGGAAAAAGACTTCTATAAAGGACAATATTGGGTTAAGTGACCAACTTAGAATATGGATGGTAGATTAGATAGAAGTATTGAATCAATGTTAAGTTTACTGCAGTTGATAACTGTGTGAAAGAAAATATTATTATTCTTAAAAATACACACTTAACCATGATTTATGCATCTGTTTCAGAAAAATAATTATGTGTGTGTAGATAAACAGAGCCAATGACAAAGCAAATGAGGCAAAATATTAATAATAAATGAATCTAGGAAAGAGGTAGAACGATTTCCTTTGTACTATTCTTGCAACTTTTCTTTGTTTGAAATTATTCCCATACAAAAAATTAGAAGTCATAAGTTTATAGAGGTATTTCAATTCAACTTCCAATTATATAGTTAATGTACTTGATTTATTATTTTTTTCTTTTATAAAACTTTTTTCTTTTTTTTTTTTTAGAAATTTATTTTATTTATTTATTTATGGTTGCATTGGGTCTTCATTGCTTTGCCCGGGCTTTCTCCAGTTGCAGCGAGCGGGGGCTACTCTTCATTGCAGTGCATGGGTTCTCACCGCGGCGACTTCTCTTGTTGCGGAGCACAGGCTCTACGCACGCGGGTTTCAGTAGTTGTGGCACGTGGGCTCAATAGTTGTGGCTTGTGGGCTCTAGAGCGCAGGCTCAGTAGTTGTGGTGCACGGGCTTAGTTGCTCCATGGCATGTGGGATATTCCCGAACCAGGGCTCAACCCCGTGTCCCCTGCATTGATGTGGATTTTTAAACACTGTGCCACCAGGGAAGTCCCTGTACTTGATTTTACATTCCTACTGGACATCCTGGCTTCTAACAACATAAAGATAATTATTTATGTTGTAATATGCATTAAGTAATTTCAAACTAATAATGGCATTACCATTAATAGTAAACCTGACAAATAAAGCTTGAGATTTTCTTGCCATTCTCTTTGTCCTTAAAATATACCCCACTGTGTACAACTACGTGTTCTAAAATTAATTGAAATAATGCTTTTTTATGTGCAGTTATGTTATTAATTTGATATATGGTTAGATTTGTTTCAGGTACCTTAAATTTTAGGAATTATTTTAAAATTTAAATTTATTTTTGAATATATAAATCATTCATGTGATTTGACAGTTAAAACTTTAAAATAAAGTATAGTCCTAAAGTTTTTTTTTTTTTTTTTTTTTGTGGTATGCGGGCCTCTCACTGCCGTGGCGTCTCCCGCTGCGGAGCACAGGCTCCGGATGCACAGGTCCAGTGGCCATGGCTCACGGGCCCAGCCGCTCTGCGGCATGTGGGATCCCCCCGGACCGGAGCACGAACCCGCGTCCCCTGCACTGGCAGGCGGAGTCCTAAATTTAAAATAAGAAACCAAAGAATATTCAGGAAAACCTTACACCTTTTTTATACTCCTCAAATGCATTATTAAAAAAAAATTTAGCCTCTGGTTTCTCTATCCTGTGTGTGTTTCCGTAAATACGTGTGTGTGTGTGTATGTGTGTGTGTGTGTGTAGCCTACATAAAGGGTAATATACTATATACACTGTTTACTATCTTGATTTTTTAATGTAACACTGTATCCTGGAATTCTCTTATATCAATATCCTTTTCTTAAATGTTTCTGTAGTACTCCATCTTGAGAAAGTTACATACTTTTGGAGATGTAACTTAGTTTTATTCAACCAATGTTTTACTGTTTTTATTTGTTTGTATGTTTTAATAATCTTTTACTGTTATAAATAATGCTGCATTTTATATGCCTACAGGTATATTACAGAATAACATAAAAATAAAATTACAGTTTAATAAAAGAAGAATGTCCTCTTCCCAGCCCTGGCAACCACCATCTATTTTCTGTCTCTATGAATTTGACTCCTGTAAGTACCCCATGTCAGTATTTGTTCTTTTATGACTGGTTTATTTCATTTAGCATAATGTCCTCAAGGTTCATCTATGTTGTAGCATGTGCCAGAAGTTTCTTCCTTTTTAAGGCTGAGTAATATTTCATTGTATGTATATAGACCACACCTTGCTTATCTGTTCATCTGTCAATAGACACTTCAGTTACTTCCACCTTTTGGCTATTGTGAATAATGCTGCTATGAACATTGGTATACAAACATCTGTTTGTATCCCTGCTTTCAATTCTTTTATGTATATACCCAGAATTGGAATTGCTGGGTCATATGGTAATTCTATATTTAATTTTTTGAGGAACTGCCATATGGTTTTCCACAGCAGCTGCACCATTTACATTCCCACCAGCAGTGCACAGGGTTCCAATTTCTTTACATCCTTGCCAACACCTATCCTCTGTTTTTTCTCCTGTTGTTTGTTCTTCTGTTTTGTAATAGTCATCGTAATGGGTGTGAAGTGGTATATCATTGTGGTTTTGATTTGCATGTCCCTAATGATTAGTGACGCTGGGTACCTTTTCACATAGTTATTGGCCATTTGTATATATTCTTTGGAGAAATGTCTATTCAAGTCCTTTGCCCATTTAAAAATCAGTTTTTTTGGTGGGATTTTTTTTGCTGTTGAGTTGTCCTTTTGACTCTTGAGATTGTTTGTTTTCTTGTCAATTCATCTTCTAATGATTCTGAAAGCATTGGAAAATAAATAGGAAGAAGACAAGTTAGTAAAAAGTAGTATTCCATTTTAATGGATATGATTGTAACATGCAAGGCAGTTTCAAAGCTTCGACAGATGGTGCACAGCAATTGTGCTTTACTGATAGAGTTACAACAAATTCTATTAAATTAAAAATCCCACTTAGCAGATGCCTTCAACAGTTGTTGTCCGCTCTGAAGCTAATCTCTGAAGCAAAGACATTTTTTTGTTGTTGTTTGTTATTTGTAGTGTGTTTGGACCTTTGAAATTCTAAATTTTCTAAAAAATACTCTATTGGTATTTAGGTGGTAGTTTACCTTAGAAGTGTTGAGGGGTAGGAGGATGGAGGGATAAAGAAGACTTTAATCTCTGACAAAATGTGGGTTATTAATAAACTAGAGAAGATTTGTAAATGAGACATGAGTATATGAGTTTCTTTATAAAGTATATCCTGAACCTGTTTTGCTATAGATTGCAGTGTATATTAATTTTAATGGAGGGACTTCCCTGGTGGCACAGTTCTTAAGAATCCACCTGCCAATGCAGGGGACATGGGTTTGAGGCCTGGTCCAGTAAGATCCCACATGCCGTGGAGCAAAGAAGCCCGTGAGCCACAACTACTGAAGCCCGCATGCCTAGAGCCCGAGCTCTGCAACAAGAGAAGCCACTGCAAGGAGAAGCCTGCGTACCACAACGGAGACCCAATGCAGCCAAAAATAAATAAATAAATATTTTAAAAAATTTAATGGAAGTTAAACACTATAAATTATTTATCTCACGAAGCTCACTAAAATAAGAGTCTACC